GATGATCAATGGTCTCTACTATTTCGAGGATAATCTACCTAGTAATAAAATTGCTCAAGGACTTAGTAGTATTAGTTCTATTTCTGTTCATGATCAAATAATGGTTTGGCATTACAAATTGAACCATCCTAGTTTTTCTTATTTGAAACAATTGTTTCCAGCATTGTTTAAAAGGGTTAATCCTTTATCATTTCAATGTGAAAGCTGTTTATTGGCAAAGAGCCATCGAAAACCTTATATTCAAAAAACTTATCAAGCTTCAAAACCATTTTATCTCTTTCATAGCGATGTTTGGGGACCCTCAAAGGTAACCACTGTTTCAGGAAAAAAATGGTTTATAACCTTTATAGACGACCACACTCGTCTTTGCTGGGTGTATTTAATGCGGGAAAAATCAGAAGTTGAAAAAATTTTTAAAGATTTTTACACAATGATTGAAAATCAATTTCAAACAAAAATCAGCATTTTGGGATCTGATAATGGAACGGAATATTTTAATAAAGTCTTGGAAACTTTTTTAAAGGAAAAGGGTATTTTACATCAATCAACATGTTCAGATACTCCTGAGCAAAACAGAATAGCTGAACGCAAAAATAAACATTTGTTAGAAGTAGCCCGGGCTATGATGTTTTACATGAATATTCCAAAATACTTATGGGGGGATGTCATACTCACTGCATCATATCTAATCAACAGGATGCCCACAAAAGTTTTGCAGTACACTACACCACTGAAGTGTTTTAAAAAGGTATTTCCAGATTCTCGAATTAATTCTGAATTACCTTTAAAAATATTTGGTTGCACTGCATATGTTCACCTTCCAAAAAGGTCACGGTCTAAGTACCCAAGGGCAGAAAAATGTGTTTTTGTAGGATATACTCCTAATAAAAAGGGCTACAAGTGTTTTAATCCCCTTACAAAACGTTTTTACACAACCATGGATGTCTCTTTTTTGGAAAATACCCCATATTTTACCAAAAATTTACTTCAGGGGGAGAACTTAGTTGAACCAAATTTTTGGGAAGTTGCTGAACCCTTACCTAATCCGATCCTTGATATCTCTTTCAAATCAATGGAAAAAGAAAAAGAAAATAAGGATAAACCCACTGCATCCGAACCTAATTTCATTAATCTGTCGGAAAAAGAAATACTACGAATGGAAAAAAATCGCAGCAATCTTGAGCCTGTGGTTTATGCAAGGAAGAATGTCCCTGGAAGAAGTAAAGACCAATTAATCATCCTAACACATGGTCAAACGGAAGTCCTGGGTGATGGTCTTCCAAGTGTCTCAGGTAATTCTTCTTCCATTCCTACTCATTCTTTGCCATTACTCTCTAATTCTGATTCTGAAATTTCTGCACCCGAACCTTGTTTAGAATTATCCCCAGTAATTCCTACACAGGCCCGTGACACTGATCTTCCAATTGCCCTTAGAAAAGGAACCCGCACATGCACTAAGCATCCTATTGCCAAATATATTTCCTACAATAATCTCTCTGACAGGTATAGAGCATTCACTACAAATATTTCAAACCTTGTTGTGCCTAGAAGCATTCAGGAAGCACTAAATGAACCAAGTTGGAAATCGGCAGTGTTTAAGGAAATGGATAACTTGAGGAAAAATGGTACTTGGGAGATAGTAGAATTGCCGAGAGAGAAAAAGGTTGTTGGGTGTAAATGGGTCTTTACAATAAAGAGTAAGGCTGATGGAAGTATTGAGAGATATAAAGCTAGGCTTGTGGCAAAAAGTTTCACTCAAACCTATGGGATAGACTACCAAGAAACCTTTGCCCCGGTAGCTAAAATTAACTCAATCAGAGTTTTGTTGTCCCTTGCAGTAAATTCTAATTGGCCTTTACATCAATTGGATGTTAAAAATGCCTTCCTTAATGGACCTAGAGGAGGAAGTGTTCATGAGCCTGCCACCAGGTTTCGAAGAAAGCTTTGGAGCTGGAAAGGTGTGTAAACTGAAGAAGTCCTTATATGGACTCAAGCAGTCCCCTAGAGCTTGGTTAGAGCGCTTTGGCAAGGTGATAAAGCGGTATGAATACACTCAAAGTCAAGCTGATCACACTGTGTTCTACAAACATTCAAAGGAAGGGAAAGTGGCCATCTTAATTGTGTATGTAGATGATATAGTGCTAACTGGAGATGATTACAGCGAACTAGAGAAGTTAAAAGGAAGACTCGCTGAAGAATTTGAGATCAAGGACTTGGGGGCGTTAAAATACTTTCTTAGAATGGAGTTTGCTAGGTCCAAAGGAGGTATTTTTGTAAATCAGCGTAAGTATGTGCTTGATCTACTTAATGAGACGGGTATGTTAGGTTGCAAGCCTGCTGAAATGCCAATAGAGCCTAATGTAAAACTACAGCCTGCAATAACAGAGAATGTGAAGGACAGAGAGCGTTATCAGAGACTCGTTGAGAAATTGAATTACTTATCTCATACACGCCCGGACATAGCATTCTCGGTGAGCATGGTTAGTCAGTTTATGCATCAATTTCCTGTTTTGTGTATTGAGTCATTTTATGTTGTTCCGTTTTGTGTGTTAGGCATTACTCAAGGACGAGCAATGACTTAAGTTTGGGAGTATGATAACTCGATGAAATAGAGTTATTTAGCATACTTTTAGGCTTAGCAGTTGTTTATTTTCTCAAGGTAAAATGCCTTAGTGTTAGTATTTTGTATAACATTTGTTAGTTTTTGTTTAGTTGATAGAAGGTTGATATTTGTGGAGCAATCTCGTTACAACATGGATTTAGTCCTCATGTTCAATGCAAGTGTGTTGACTTTGGGTAATTAGTGCAGGAAAGCAACAGGGCAGTGTTGGTAAAAGCAATTTGAAAGAAAAGCACGGTAAAGGAAGTGAAGGCAGGAATGAACCCGTTGCTGCAGCAAAGCTATAGCAACGCAGATGCAACCAAAAGGTGCAAGCTGGTGCAGTTTGTTTTCATGTACAGCTGGTAGTGGTCCAAATTGCCGACTCTGACATGAGGGGACAGCTGTAAGAGCACTAAAGCGGGGACCATCAGTTTTGGCTCTGAGGCGGACACATGTAATTAGGGTACCTCATCCTGCCCTAATATAAAAGGAAAAAGAAGAGTACTGAAAAGGGCAGAGAAAACGGAGGAGTCGCAGAATTACACAAAAGAAGCTAAAGAAAGAAAGAAAAAGAACGAGGGAAAGCAGAGCTGGTTTATAGGGCAAAAGGGAAGCAAGGACAAAGGCCTACTGAGCATCCAGACTTTAGCTTAATCATTTCCTTCTATCTGTCTGTATTTACACTATGTTTGGTATGAATGAAAAGTGGAAGGAAAGAAAATGTTGGAGGGATTTTAGGATGGAAATTGGTAAATTAACTTGTTTGGTAGAAAGTAAATTGGGAAGGAAAAGAAAATTGAAAGGAAATTGTAATTGGTGGGTCCCACCATATTTAATCCCTCCAAAAGTGGGAGGATTTTAGGAAGAAAAATGTAGATAACTACCTAAATTACTAAATTGTCCTCATTTTGGCTCCAAAAGTTAGTGCTGTTTTTTTTTTTTTTTTTCAGAAAGAAGAGATAAATGGGCAATGGGCTTTCTCTCTATATGTGTACATAGCTAGGATTAAAGATATCCATATAAAAGATTTCAGTACATTAAATTAAACATCGATGATCAACCAACCTTTATCACATTCACAATGCATTCATAGCTACAGTGTATTAATGCTATATAAGTTAAACTATGTTTTTGTACCTTTATATATGTATGTGTGTGTATATATACATAATATAGATGGAATATATGTTCAAGTTACATGAATTTTTCGAGTTAATTTGATATTGAATACTGCATTATTTATACTTTTATTAGAAAAGAATATTAATAAAAAATATTTAGGTAAAAAAGTAATTACACCAATAATAATTTTTCCATCCCTTTAGTTTCATTTCCAATACCAAACAAGGGAAGGTAGATTCATTTTCTTTCTTCCCTATCATACTAAACAAGTCAAGGGAAAATCAAAATCTTTTCTATCATTCTAATTTTCTATGCATTATAATTTTCCTTTCCCTCCCATTTTCTTTCCTTCTTACCAAACAGAGCATTACTCTCTGTGACAAATGGATTTGATTATTGTTATTATTTTTAATTACCTTGCACCGAACATGAGCTAAACTTCTTTGGCTAGGATTATTGATGGAACCAAAGTTGCAATGAAGATTAATTTGTTTTTCTAATTGCTTGTGTAATTTTCATTCGGTTTATTCAAGTGTGTTTATTGTTCAACTTTTGTTAAGTGACAGGCCATCATTTAATGAAAAATATAAACTGAAATTAATTCTGGAAAGGTTGGTTTTAGTTGGAACTATCTTGGATAATATAAGGGAATAGTATAGGAATATATTACGGCCTTGTACAACCCATTAAAATTGGTGCTTACTCCAAGTTTTGAGAACTGAAATGCATAGGAATATGTTAGTTTTGGTTTGAGGAACTACAGGCATAGATCTATCGGAAGAGGATTATGCTGAATTTTAGGTTAGATTGAGGATTATGCCGAATTTTAGGTTGATTGAATGAACTTTGCTACAGCAATCCCATAGCAAAACGTGGTCAGAGTTGCAACCGAGGGAAAATCAGTAATCCTAACCTTTACCCATCATTGATTCACAACTTGTAGCTTAGAACTTGTTAAGTCTTACCTCTTGTTTACATTTAAATCATTCCCAGTCATTTTACTAATTCACGTTACTTAATCCTTACCGAATTTGTATTTGATTCACTTTTCAATTCATTTTAGTTCAACTGGTTTTTATAATCAATTTTGTATTAACGGTAGTCCCTGTGAAGACGATACTCTTTACTCACTACTGTATTACTTGTGCGATTGCGTGCACTTGCGTAGAGCTATTTCTATACATAGGATTTTATCGCAACAATCCCAAACCCCAAACAAACAAACAAATAAATAAAAGCCAAAAGGGATTTGCTGGGAGTTTCTAGAGAAATATACCTCAGAACCAGTGTAGCCACTAGCTCCAAGAACACCAATGCGAACAGACTTTTCTGTGTTCTGTGCTTTGGCATTCACGGAACATTTAACAAACACCTTCCCTGCACTTCGCCTCTTGGACTTACCATACTTCATTTGGTCCTACATTCAAAAAAAAGAAAAATTCTTAGAGCAATAAAATCCAAAATATAAAACAAGAATAACTTGAAATTAAACTCAATGAAGAATCGAAATTCAAGTTTTTTTTTTCCTTCAGTTGCATGCAAAATAGTATTGATAAAACCAAACCCAGATGAAAAAAACTTTTAACTTTCAGAGAAACAGACCTTCCATAGGCAGCCACTGTCAAAGCCAAACGAACTGAAGGCCGAGGAACTCATTTTCTGTTAGTCACAACCACAGAGATTCTGCTAAACGAGGCAAAGAAGACGACCGGAAATGGCGCGGCTCGTGCGGAGGAGAGGGAAAAATCGCGACGTCTCTGTCGCGAATAAAGAGAGAGAGCCGTGCTCAGGGGGAAGAGCGAGAGAGATAGAGAGAAGTGCGGCAGAGATAGAGAGAGAAAGAGAGAGAAAGAGAGAGCGAGCCGTGCTCAGGAGAGAGAGAGAGGAGTGGCAAGAGAGAGAGAGAAAGAGTTTTTTTTTTTTTTTGAAATAATTAGGAGGATCTACCATATATGTAACTTTGAGCCGGGTTAAACCGGTCGATCCGAGGCCTAGCACTATTGATTCGGTCTAGGGCTCATCCAACTCCGCCCTAATTCTTTGGCCGAGTCAGGCTTAGATTTCAAGTTCGAAATCTTCTTCAAGCTGGACCACATCTTTTATAAATTTCTCCTTAAAAATATCTTGACCGGCTCAGCCGACTCTCTTTTTTTTAAAATTAACTTGGTAAAATAATAGGCTGACCCGGCTTGAAATTCTCATTCGGGTCATAGGCACGGCTCGGATTGAGTGGCTTGAACATTCACCTCTAAGATGGTCGAAGAAAGAGAGTTTTTTTTTTTATTGAGATAACTAGTTTTGGGACATCTTCTGCACGTGTTGTCGTGTGTGAGTCACCTAATTATTATAACATACCTTTTTAAAATAGATAAATTATAACATATTTGAGTGAAATAACATATTTGATAGGATACTTAGTAAATTATAACATAATTTTTTAAAATAGGTAAATTATAACATAATTTAATATCTTAAGATTTCAATATTATTAAAAATCCAAAAATACCCCTAAACTCTCTCATTCCCACCTCTTCTCCTTCCCCCCTAAAGGGGTGTTTGCTATACATTAATCTTAAATGTGGGAATGAGAATATGCAGGATTACTGTGTTTGGTACAAAAATTATCATTTTTATATTCCTAAGAAAGTGAATCTCATAGGATTCATTTTACCTCAAAGTGGGGTAATATGAATAACATAAGGTGTTATGTTATTCAAATGAATCTCAACATTATGAGAATCTCACCACCATCACCACTGACCATGTTCTGCCCAGTCACTCAGCAGGCCAACCACCCACTAGAGGTTTGACAACATTCAACGTCCTGCTCAGACCACCTTAGCGGCCGTTGCAGCCCACCACAACTCAGAGTCGCCGTCACTAGGACTGGCAATCCGGATAGCAACACGACGACATGACTCGAAACCCGCACGAAATTAGCGGGTTTGGGTTTATCATAAATAGATACGGGTCAAAATCAGGTCGAACGGGTGAAACACGATTAAATAACGTGTCACCGTCAACCCGCAATTGAACCGCCATAACCTGTTTATTAAACGTGTCATATTTGGATAACACGAATACACAACCCGTTTATTACCCATTTTATAAACATGTTCAAAAATAGGTTCAGAAATAGGTTAACATGACCCATTTATCACCTATTTTATAAACAGGTTCAAAAATATGTTCAGAAATAGGTTAGCACGACCCATTTATCACCCATTTTATAAACGGATTGACAGGTAATTAACGGGTTGACACGACACATTTATGACTTGTTTAATAAACAGGTTATTCGTGTCGTATCGTGTCAACCCGCCAATATACATGTCGTGTTTAGGTTTTGTATTTCGACACGATTAATAAACGAGTCGTGTTCGTGTCAGACCTATTCGTGTCAACTGAGGGGGTCAATACGACCTGCCAACACGAATTGCCACCCCTAGCTGTCACACTGTTGCAGCCCCGTGTCGAACTATTGCAACCCCACCACTACCGAGACACTGGTAACAACCTCACCACTGTCGCAACTCCACCATGAGTCAGACCATCTATTCCAACCCAGAATAAATAATCAAGAAGAAAAAATAACATCTTAAATTTGAGAAGGGGGAGTAAAAGCCATTAAGGTCATATGTTTATTTTTTTAAAGTTTATTTGTTTACTTTTTTCATAATTTTTAAAATTTGGTACCAAATTTATTAAATTTTCTAATATTTATTTTTTGCAATCTTTTTTAAATCTAATGTGTGAAAATTATAATCACTCAATTAAATAAAATTTAATTAGCTTAAAACAATTTAAAATTAATTTATAAAAAAAAATTACATTGTATTACTATGCACAACAAAACACCGTAAAATAACATTCATAGGAATCTAATAAAATATTCATACGCATAACCAAACATGATAATGTAGATTTCCAAGGAATCATATTACCCACCATCACTTTCTCGGGTATTTGATTCATACTAATTACTGCATACCAAACGCCCCCTAAGTCCTTTCTAATCAAGTCTACCATGGTCAGAATCTACAATCAGTGAATACTGTATTTATTCAAAAATATCATATTTACCCAAAAATACACCGGCGCTAGCTAGTAAATATGGTATTTACCATATTTATCAAAAAATATAATATTTACTCAAAAATTCAATCACCGGTACTAGCAACCAATAAATATTATATTTACTATAAATATTAAATTTACCAATAAATATTATATTTACTCGTATTTATTTGTTGGTGAATCGCATTTTTACACGTATATACTTAACTAATTTAAATCCTATAATAGTTAAATTACATATTTACTTGTAAATATAATATTTACTTTAAAAAATCTTTAATTATCATGTTATTTATTTACTATAAATACGATATTTATCAGAGACATCGACCACGGGTATTAACAGCTAATAAATATCATATTTACTCCTATATACGGCTTATGGCTCTAGCCTTGACGTCGTCAACCCATATATATCGTATTTACTCATAATTAATAATTACTGTAAATACTGGATGTCAGCTGTCGATAAATATTGTATTTACCGCAATAATACAAACATAGATCCATAAAAGAATACAAACACAGGAATGGAAAAGAAAACGGCGTTGGTTGTCGATTTCACATATTTCTGGCAAGAACCAAACTTGCATATCTACTTTAGCACGGCGAGGATGAGCTCCCCAATTGCAAATTGAACTGTTTCACGATTGTCTTGTGGTCGTTCTTCTTCTACGGCACCGATTCATGAGTCACGAGGTAGGCCCCTTTTGCGATTTCGGAATCACGACGATCTCGGCAGCTCGTCTTCTCGTATCTCATTGCTATCCTCTTTGAGCTTTGGCGATCATTTTCTTGGCGAACAAGCTTGACAGATCGTCTACTTCGCGGTGTGATGGCGGCAGAAAGCGATGGAGAACCGGCAAGATCTCACCGGAGGTGCCTCGCGAGAGATCCAATCGCGGTAGATTGTCTTCCGTCTCTCTTTCTCTCAAATGTTTGTTTTTCTTCTCTGGCAATAATTCACACATCTCCTCTCTCTCTTTCTTCTCGCCCGCTCTCTCTCTCTCTCTCTCTCTCTCTCTCTCTCTCTCACCGTTGATGCCATTTGTAGTCGAGTTCCTCACGTCGATCTCCATCTAATCTGGCCTTACGCGATCTCATTGGAAAGTTGAAACAACCCTCATCGCCAGCCGCGATATTCTTCGTGTGACATTTGGTGTTGCGACTCCTTCTCCGTCAACTGCGTCAGAGGCGGCGACGACGGTAGTAGCTGGGATGCCTGGCTAGGGTTTGCAGATTTGGGGGTATATTTGAAGAGTATTGCGGATAGAAAGAGTTTTTACCGGCCTAATCCGGATGAGAGACGAGACATGCAATCCAAAATTTATCTAAAAAATCTCATAAAAAAAATCTCTAACTGGGAGAGAAAACTAAACTCTATTTAATTATTCAATATTCAAATCTTCTTGATACAATAGATAAGTGACTATTTATAACTTATTTAAAAAACAATAACAAGATAATAATTAAGATAAATGATGTAATAATAATAAAACTAAGTTAAATTATAAAATTGAAATAAATGATAATAAAATATAAAAATAAGTATTTATATTTAAAACTCTCTACATTGAAAAGAACTTGACTTTGAGTTTAGTAGAAGCAATCAAAAATTCGAGTTTAGTAGAAGCAATCGAAAATAAACCAATAATAGCTAGCCACAATGTGAAATGAAAGAAGCTCGAAAAAGTCAACACAAAAGAAACCCCTATTAGTCTTGTGGGAATGGTAGACTCCAACTGAGAAGTCTCTCTGAATCTCGTCTCAAATCCACAACGGCAACATGATAATCATCCAATCGAACACCAAAAAGAACCAAGCAATTCGCCATTGACGGCGCCTCACTCCTTTAGTCTTGAAACCACTCAATGCATTAGTAATGTCTCCTACAAAATGAATGTCAAATGGATTAAGATTGCTAATGAGCCCATCAAAATTCTTCTTCAATCCAAGTTTGCCCACAACTAAGCTATCTTTCTTCAATTCAAGCCCATCCACAACTAAGCCCTCAACAATCAACTCTTTCCACCTTTTTAGGCCCCTCTTCAAAAGTGCTCTCACTACCATTCAGCTACATCATTTTGCTATTAGAGCTCTCGATTTTTCTTAGGGTTTGACGCCATAATCGGTGATTGGAGCAACTTTGACGTTAATGAGCGTGAAGTTTCATATTACCGGAGAAGCGAGTCTCGTCAGTAGAGAGCCCACTAACAACCACCTTCTCCACCACATTACCGGCCTAACATGGACGGAGGATCCTCAAATCCACCTAAAATAAACTCTACAAGGGAAAAACTCTTAAATTGGAGAAAAAATTTAACTCTAATTCAATTATCAAAATATTCAAAGTCTAACTATTACAATAACTAAAGTGGCTATTTATAGCCCACTTACAAAAATGATAACAAAACACTATTAAAATAAAACGACAAACTAATAAGAAAGTAAAGCTAAATTACTAAGCTAGAACAAATGATAATGAAAAATATAAAAACGACTAAGTAAGCCTCCCTACATCAAGTATTGTTGCGCGAAGAAGATGAATATGGAAGGGGTAAACATGAGATTCCAAATTTTCATTGCCCAGCAAATCACGAACATGCTATTTTTTTTTTCAAATAATTTTAGACATACTATTTACTTAAACTAAGTGTGGAAAAAATGCTTTTCCTTTATATTTCTCTTTAAAATAAGGAAAAAATGGAAAACCAAATTAACGTTGTAAAGAATGTAATATTTATTAATTATTTACTAACTTAAATTTATGTAATATGTTATATATTACAAAATTCAAGAAAAAAAACACAGAAAAAAAGAGAAGGAAGCATGCCCTTGAACTTTAGCATCTCTCTTATACTCTCATTTTGTCCTATATATTTAAATTACCTTTCTATTAAAATTTCTTTTAAAAACTTATAAAAAATAAGTAATTAGTCTCACTTTGTTCCCTTTATCTTATAATTTATGTTGAAAGCAAAGGGAACAAAAAGAACCTTATTTAATTCATTTGTTTCATCTGTTTCTTACGGAAATTCTAATATAAGGAGTTAATTGGAAAATTTTAAAGTTTAAAAAGTAAAATGAAAATGGTCCTAAAATTAAGAAGCATAAAAGGCATAGTAAGTGAGAATAATCTAAAGTGGAAAAAAGTTTAAGGTTATCAATGACAACCTTTAATTATAGTCTCACTCCCAATTTGACCCCTAACATTTGGTTTAAACAGCATGCTACCCTGATTTATAAAGAAAAAAAAATCCGAATGTCCATAAAAAAATGAATGGCAAAAAATTATTCTCCTTTGGGGCATTTTTTTGACAAAATATAGTATCAAAATTAATTAAAAAATGCATGGAAAGAGTAGACTTGTGAGTTCCAACAGACCACCCCCTTTCCCCATGTAACTTATTTCATTCATATATACTTTGTTCAGAAAAGAATTAAAATATATTCTAAAAAAATGTTAGTTTTAAAAAAAATCTGAACAGATGTAGGATTACAGACGTGTCTTAATGCAGAGTTTAATTTTTTTTTTAAAAATAACAAAAATAATTCCAATATACAATTGAGAAGTAGGGGTGTAAATCGGCCAGGTAGGGTAGGATTGAGCCGAAAAATTGAGCCTACCCGACCAGTGCGGGTTGAGAAAATTTTGGGCCGCGACACTCTCTTAAGTCTACAAACCCGCAACCTTTCGGGTGACCTCGGGTAGGGTCAGGTTACTCGGGTTGGTGAAAATCAACTTTAATCTATGACTTCATCAATTTTAATCAATTTTTAGTCAATTAATTTGTGCTTGTTACAGAAGAAATCATTATCAAACAAAACATGTCTTTCTTTCAAGAGGGGGTCTAAATGTTAGGTGAACAATTAAAACACTCACTTTGAAATCAAACACTTCCAATATAAATAAAGAATGTCTTAATTCAACAACTATGACATACAAGCATTTTTTACACAAACTGTGAATCCAAAATATAAATAAGTTAACAGTTTAAAAGCATAAAATCCATAAACTTATAAAAGTAAGAATTTGAAGTGTTGGACATTGTTTTACCATTTTACCTATTTTGAACATGTTCAGCCGGATAGGGTTACCTTGGGTTCATGTAACCCCACCCCGTGCCCCTACCCGCGCAGTGCGGATTAGACATAATTAAAACTGAAAATTAAATAAAAAATTAGAAACCTGTGATTTTCGAGTATGGTCAGCTCAACTCTGCCGGATTCATCGGATTCGAGGTGATTTCTTACACCCCTATTGAGAAGTAACGTTTTGTGTATGTATCTTCCTTAACCAATTTAATAGGTTTGTGTATTAGTGAGTCATTCATATCCAAAATTAGCCACAAAGAAAAAAGTAGTACCGAGAGTAAATTATAAATTGTCATTTTTTTTTATACTCTTTTTACATATCTTTGTAGAGAGATAAATACGGAATTTCCATCAGGATTTCAGTTGTAGAATGAGCATATAGTTATCTCTTAATCTGTATTCTTGCCAAGTACACATAGAGACAGGAATGAAAAGGCCAAGATGAACTTTCTCTATTGATTTACAATCACAATTGTAATATTTACATAAAGAAAAGAAACAAAGAAAGAAAGAAAGAAAAAAAAACAAAGCCTTTCAAAATGTGGGGAAAAAGAAAATTGTACAATATAATTATTTGCGAAAAAGCTAACTAGATTATCAGTACTCAGCGATCTAGGGGAGAAAAATATGGAGCTTGGGACACCCGTTTGGGAGTTTGACGATTCTCATCTGCCCTTGAACTTATTGGTGAAGATTGTGGCATTAGCTCAGACAATCGAATTCTTTCATTTGTAATCTTATTCTGCAAAAATCACCGCAAAGAAAGAAATTTTCAAACCTTTACTTTTGCATGTCAATCTACATTACTAGAACTAATCATTAAGTACCTTGTACTTCAAATCTTCTATTTCTCTATCCATGGAAGTAATTTTGTTCTTGAGTTGCTCAAGCACCTCTTCAGCAAACGAGGGGTTTACATCATTTACAGGCTTTGTAATTCCAGCCGCCTGTAAAATTCAATTGGGGTTTGACTAAGTCTGAATTTCAATGGACTTTGAGGGGCTAAGATAAGATGTGAAAAAATATCCCGCCAGTAGAGCATAATTCTGAATTGTTAGATTTATTCCGTTGAATTATCATACTTTTCTTAATCTAATAACTCTAATTTGATCTAACGCTTAAAAAATTGTAGTACCGATTGAGTATTAGCCTAACCCAGAATTCTCATTTTTTCTAAGAAAAAAAAAATCCTCTTTTCACTTACCTTTAAAACACTGGTACATAGACCTAATAACTTTTGTGCTAATTGCATCTTTTCCTCCTCAGTTTCCTGCATCAGATTCAATTCACTATCAACCATCAAACTCTATGTTAAGAAAAATGATGTATCTCTAACATCCTTTTACTTCATATACTAACCTTCAGCTTGGTGCTCAATCTTTTCTCTTCATCAAAATCAATGTAGGGATTCCTTCCAAGGGAATCACGGAAGCGATTGAGTTCTTCCTTGACGCGTGAAAGGATGCCTTCTGTCCGCCGCAGCTTGGTGCTGAGCTCTTGATTGTGAATCTTGAGCATGTTATTTTCTTCCTGAAGTTACCAGAAATTCCCATTAAGCATTGGTTTTAAACAGAGACGGAAGGAAGACAAACTACAGAGAAAAGACTCTTTAGAATACAAGGTGTTGAGAGGAACTTGCCTTGATCTTAGCGTGGTGATGTATTCGCTGATGGAGGTTTTGCTGGCCAGAAAGTTTATTTATTTCTCCTTCAAGTTCCATCACCTTCTTCTTATGATTCACATTCTCCATCTACATAAATCAATCATGGTGAGACAAGAAACTGGAAAAAAAAAAAAAAAGTTGACTTCACAATGAGACCAATATGTTCAAACCATAAACTATTATCTCCACCTTTAACATCTCATTTTCCGCTTTGAGCAAATGATCACGCTGCCGAAGCTTCTCCAAAGATATTTGTGCAGCTACTACTTCAGCCTGTTTTCTATCAATTTCCTCTAGCCATCTGAAATTACAAAGTTTAAAGAAGAAACTAAGACAGCAGAGTATAACAAAAATTGAGACTCTTTTGGTAGTTATGAAGTAATCGTAGCTCACCCTTGTCTCTCCTGAATGAAATCAGTTAGCTGTTTTTTCAGCTTAACAGCCTCCTGCTCCTGAATGAAGGACAAAATTCTAGTCATACAACATACTCACTATATATGCATAACCAAGTTTCAGGATGATACAAGTTGAGCATACCATCTCTTGGGATTCAAGGTTATGAAGCCGAGCCTTCTCAGTGATCTTCTGAACTTGCTGATTGTCCAGCAGTGACTGGGACCAGGAATTTGGGAAGAAGTAAGATTCTGTCGTCTAGTCCCAAGCATAGAATAATAAAACATATGCAGATAATTGCCAATAATTCCTTTTCCCGTTCTTATAACATTTTTTGCAAATGTGGGAAATCATAGACATCTTTAGTCAAGTATTTCAGATATGCATTGGTCTTCTTAAGAATATGTCAACTTTTAGAGAGAAAGGTATTTAAGTAATCTGATTTCATGCAAATTGGAATGGTTTATTAGAATAATAGAAAGGGCCATATAGTTACCATGTATGTAGTCATATCCAGCTTCACTCCCAGCAAGTCCCGAATAACATCATGGGTCATGCTTTCGGCAGCGGCCAGTTTGGTATTTAGAGTAAATATCTGCATTGGAGGAGAAAGGGAGACAAACCCCTTAAATATCTTGAAGAAAGTTACCAACGTTAAAAAATAATATAGTGATGTATATCAGGAAAAATTAACAAAAACCTTTCTTATGTTTTATACAAATGTTGCATTATACCTATATATATACAGCAACAACAACAACAAGCCTTAATCCCAACTTAATTGGGGTTAGCTCTATGGATTTCACTTTTTCACACGGCTCTGTTCGAAATTATACTTTCCTGAAGGCCTAGATCTAAAATGTCTTTCCTAACGACTTCGGTTTACGTAATTCTTGGTCTACCCCTCCCTCTCCTAGTATTAGTTATAAGAATGTCCTCCCAAGCACGGACTGGTGCTTCTAGCGGTCTACGTTGGATATGCCCGAACCACCTCAAGCGACCTTCACGCACCTTATCTTCTATTGGTGCTACACCTACTTTACTACGAATAACTTCATTCCTTATGCGATCCATTCTCGTATGGCCACTCATCCATCTTAACATACGCATTTCTGCCACACTCATCTTAGATATATGTTGTCTCTTAATGGCCCAACATTCACTACCATATAACATAGCTGGACGGATTACAATCCTATAGAACTTTCCTTTCAACTTAATAGGCATCTTGCCGTCACATAAAACTCCCGTAGCATTCTTCCACTTAACCCCCCTGCCTTAATCCTATGCTGAATATCCTCTTCTATATCTCCTTCGTACTGCACTATAGACCCAAGGTACCTAAACTTCCTAGAAGCCCCAATCTCCACACCGTCTAAAGAAATTCCATCACTCTGATTACTTGAGTCACTAAACCTACAATGCATGTATTCAGTTTTAGTCCTACTTAACTTAAATCCCTTCGTCTCGAGAGTCTGTCTCCACAGTTCTAACTTACGGTTAACTCATTCACTATGTTCATCCGCAAAAAGCATACACTAAGGAACTCTATCTTGAATTTCTCTTGTCAACTCATCCATCACGATGGTAAAAAGATAAAGACTAAGAGCAGATCCTTGATGAAGGCCGATCCGAATGGAGAACTCTGTCGTGTAGCCTCCAACAGTCCTCAAACTCGTGACCACCCCATCGTACATGTCCTTAATTACCTTAATATACCTCACATGCACTCCTATCTTTTCTAGCACCCACCATAAAACTTCCCTCGACACCCTATCATATGCCTTTTCTAAATCTATAAAGACCATATGTAAGTCCGTCTTGGCTTCTCTGTACCTTTCCATCAGCATTCTAAGAAGAAAAATGATTTCTGTGGTTGATCTACCTGGCATGAAGCCAAATTGGTTACCTGAGATGGTAGTTGTGGCCCTTAATCTCCTTTCGATAACAACTCTCTCCCAAAGTTTCATAGTGTGACTAATTAACTTTATGCCCCTATAATTGTTACAATTCATCACATCTCCTTTATTCTTGAAGATGGGGACAAGAATACTTTTCCTCCATGCATTAGGCATATGCTTCTTCTTTAGTATCTCATTAAAAAGCTTAGTGAGCAGCACAATTCCAACATCTCCTAATTTGTTAGTTTACCAATCCATCCCAAAAGCTTAAGCTATTAGGAGATGGGCCAACAATAGTTTTATACTTTAACACTCCCTCTCACGTGTGGGCTGGACAATGGGCAATCCTATGGGTAAATTAATTGGAAAGCCCAACACGTGAATATTTAAGCCCGAGATATATTAAAGACCCAACACATGATGACAATTTAAATGGAGATAAAGAGTGCAATTACAGGGGTTTGAACTCAGGACCTCCCGCTTTGATACTATGTTAGTTACCAATCCATCCCAAAAGCTTAAACTTTTGGGATGAATTGGTAAACTAGAATTTCTGAATTTCTTATTGAATAAAACTCGGGACTACAACTACATACATATACAAACAATATCTAATAAAGGAAATAACTAACTAGCTTAATTCTTTCCTAAAAAACAGGAAACAGAATCATAGGAGAAGATCACAACCGATCTCTCTTTTTATTCCTAAAATACTTTCCTAAAATAAAATCCCTAACTTTGACTTCCGAATATTCAACACTCCCCCTCAAGCTGGAGAATATATATCATATAATCCCAGCTTGCAAATTAAGTCTTCAAAGTTAGGTCTAGGGAGAGCTTTGGTGAGGATGTCTGCCGTTTGTTGCTTGGTAGGAATGTAGTTCAATTTAACAGTCTCACTTGTCACCTTCTCTGTGATGAAGTGTCTGTCAATTTCAACGTGCTTAGTCCTGTCATGATGCACGGGATTCTTAGCTATGCTAATAGCTACCTGATTATCACACATCATCAGAATATGAGATGAACCCATTTGTCCCAGTTCACTAAGAACCCTTTTTATCCAAATCCCTTCACAAATTCCCTGTGCTAGTGCTCTGTACTTAGCTTCTGCACTACTTCTGGCTATCACTGATTGCTTCTTACTCTTCTAGGTAACAAGATTACCCTAGACAAAAGAACAGTACCTAGAAGTTGATCGTCTGTCAATGATATTTCTTGCCCAATCTGCATCTGAATACACTTCAGTGTCACGATTCTCTGTTTTTCTGAAGAATAGGCCTTTCCCTGGTGTCATCTTCAAGTACCTAAGAATCCTGTAGACTGCTTCCATGTGTTCCTCAGTAGGGCTGTGCATGAATTGACTTACAACACTCACTGCAAAACCAATATCTGGACAAGTGTGTGAAAGATAAATCAGGCGCCTAACAAGTCGCTGATATCTCCCCCTGTCTACAGGTGTACTTTCTTTCTCGGTGCCAAGTTTCTTCTGACTGTCCATAGGAGTATCAACTGATTTGCATCCAAGCATTCCAGTCTCCTTAAGAAGATCTAGAATATATTTCCTTTGAGAAACAACAATGCCCTTCCTTGATCTAGCCACTTCCATTCCAAGGAAATATTTAAGATTTCCAAGATCTTTAACTTCAAACTCTTCTAGCAAATACTTCTTCAAATTCTGTAATTCCTCCACATCATTCCCAGATAGAATAATATCATCGACATAGACTATCAATATAGCAATTTTACCTGCGTGAGATTTCTTGACAAACAGAGTATGATTAGCCTGACCCTGTATGTAGCCAAGCTTCAAAACAGCCTTTGTGAATCTGTTAAACCAGGCTCGGGGAGATTGTTTAAGGCCGTACAAGGACTTCTTGAGTTTGCAAACCTAATTCTTTGCCATACTTCCTTTGAAACCAGGTGGGATATCCATGTAGACTTCCTTTTAAAGGTCACCATTTAGAAAAGCATTTTTTATGTCCAGTTGTTGCAAGCACCAATCTTGGTTGACAGCCAATGAGAGAAGAATTCTGATAGTGTTAAGTTTTGCGACATGAGCAAACGTTTCTTGATAGTCTATCCCATAGGATTGTGTAAATCCTCTAGCTACCAACCGAGCCTTGAATCTCTCAATTGATCCATCTGCTTTGTACTTTATAGTGAAAATCCACTTGCACCCCACGGGCCTTTTCCCAACTGGCAAATCAGTAATAGTCCATGTTCTATTCTTCTCAAGAGCATCAATCTCATCTTGTACTGCTTTCTTCCACTCTGAATTTTGTAATGCGTTTTGTATAGTGCTGGGTACCTGAATATCATTAAGAGAAGTAGAAAATGCTCTGTAAGATGGTGATAACCCTTCATAAGTAACATAATTCCCAATTGGATGACCTGTACATCTCCTAACACCCTTCCTCAATGCAATCGATATGGTAAAGTCATCAATGCTGGGAATTGGCACATCTTCAGCCCTATCCGTACTTGTGTTTTCTTCAGGTGGACTTGAAATTGGGTCAATATCTTGGCCACATGTTGGCTGTGATCCGTGCTCTAGCTCCTGTCTTTTCCTCCTCCTGATGTAGACTTGAAAATTCTCATTAGGAAGTTGTGGAGCCACAGATTGAGCAGGCACAGGGACTGGATAGGCACGGGAGAAGACACATTTGTGAGCTGGACTGATGACTGAATAGGCACGGATGTGGACAAGTCTTGTGTATGGTCAGTGGGCACAAGCACGGGTTGAGGAGAACTTGGTGACTCATAGTAGGCAACGGGTACAGACTCAAGAAGGGACTCCCAAACTTGATGTTCATTCATGTTCTCCCCCTGAACATGAGATTTGGGGTAGAAGAACACATGTTCAAAGAAAGAGACATCCATGGTAGTGTAAAATCTTTTGTTGGTTGGAGAATAACATTTGTACCCTTTTTGAGTTGGAGAGTACCCTAGGAAAATGCACTTATTGGCTCTAGGATCAAATTTACTACGGTGTTGGGGATACACATGAACAAATGCCGTGCAACCAAATACCTTGAGGGGTAAATCAGATGAAGCTGCACGGGTGTGAGGAAAATCTTTCAGAAGAAGCTGACGTGGAGTTTGAAAAGTAAGGACTCTGGATGGCATACGATTGATCAAATAGGTAGCTGTGAGAATTGCTTCCCCCCAGAAATAATTTGGAACATTAGAGGAAAACATAAGACACCGGGCAACCTCCAAGAGATGTCTATTCTTGTGTTCAGCCACCCCATTTTATTGAGGGGTGTCAACACAAGAACTTATGTGGATTATCCCGTGGTTCTGATGGTAGGTATTGAGACTACTAGTGAAGTATTCCTTAGCATTGTCTGACTTGAGTACCTGAATTCAGAGTTAAATTGATTTTGAACCATAAGATTAAAGGTTTGAAAAATTTGCTCGACCTCTGACTTTTCTTTCATAAGGAAAACCCAAGTTACCCGTGTATGATCATCAACGAATGTCACAAACCATTGAGTGCCAAAAACATTTTTTATCCGTGAGGGACCCCACACATCACTGCGGATCAAAGAAAAAACAGTTGAAGGTTTGTATGGAATTTGAGGATATATTGTTTGAGTATGCTTTGCAATCTGACAGATTTCACAATGAAAAGATGCTGGACTTTTATTGATAAATAATTTCGGAAACAATTTGCAAGATACACAAAAACTGGATGACCAAGACGATAGTGGTAACAATATAATTTCACTATCTTTATTGACATTGGAATTGGACACAGAATTGAAAGACTCTGAGATTGGACACAACTTGCTTGAGAAACTTGGTTTAAGGATCGGCCACATGAGAGGAGATAGAGCCCGGAGCACAGTTCAGCACTGCCAATTTGCTAATAGACAAAAGATTACAATCCAAGTTTGGAACATGGAGGACATAGTCGAGATACAACTCTTTAGTAAGTTGGATGGAACCTGTCCCAACAATTTTTGAATTTGAACCATCAGCAATATGAACGGACGGGTGGCCACTACTTGGCTTGTAATTTTGGAGAAGAGCAGCATCTCCTATCATGTGATTAGAAGCACCAGTGTCAACTATCCATGGCCTCATTCCTCCTCTGTTAGCAGTGAAGGCTGTATGTGAATTTGTTTGAGCAATCAAACCAGTCCCGGAAATGCTACCACTGCCAACTTGACTAAACAGTTTCTGCAACAAATCCATCTGATCTTTGTTGAATGGGCTAGGCTCGGGAACATGAGCACTATCAGAGTTGGAAGCCACATATGCTTTGCTGTCTCTGTCAAACCGTGGCTTTGGTTTCCAATCAGCTAGTTTGCCATGAAGCTTCCAGCAAGTCTTCTTACAGTAATCACACCAAGGCCTTTCCCGTTTCTGACGATCTCCACCATTACTGTTAGATGGTCGGACAGCAAGGGCAGATGCATCCAACGTTGAGGCAGGTTGTTCCTTAGATCCCATCATCACTTTCTTTCTACTATCTTCACGCCTAACCTCAAAGAAAGCCTCCCTAAGACTGGGCAGTGGTTTAGTGCCCATGATTCGACCTCGAACATCATCCAACTCCCTGTTAAGTCCTAAGAAAAATTTGAACAGCCGTTTTTGTTCCACAATCTGTTTGTATGTGGTTGCATCTTCCTGACATTTCCATGAGTGAATCTCGAATAAGTCATGAAGCACTGATTCAACCTGAAACAGCTCTGAAGTATTTTCAGAGCTGGAGTAGGTCTCTTTGGCTGCATCCCATATTTCTTTTGCAGTCTCAAACAGCAAGAAATTTTCGCCTATGTCATTGCTCATGGAGTTGATAAGCCATGACATGTGTTGGAAATGTGTCCAGAAAGTAGGATGTAATTTGTTATTTATGAAATGGCAAATATCGGATATCATTGTTTTGCTGACGTTTATAAATAAAATAAAGTTATGTTTTAATTCATACTCAAGAGTGTTGGTAATATTGCTTAGTCCATAGACTATTATCAACGAAAGAAGAGTCAGGGAATCCTTGCCGGACAAGCTCTTCTGATATAGTTTAAAATACATATTCGCAGTCTTAGGATCGATTGGGCAATCGAATTCGATTATGACTGTTAGATCGAACCATATGATGCTAGTCTCGGGGCATAGGAGTTGGACTCTGTGGTTGATCTAGACATGTTCACAACATGTTGAATAGACCATGTAACTAATTAGGTTAGAGCAAAAACCGTTTACAGAGCTCTAAACCTAATTATTACAACTTAAGTATATTTGTATAATTATCTCAATCCTGAAGTGAATACATAACTCGACTTAATTTCTCATGGTCTTTTATTCACCAATGAGATTAGTTCATAGTTTTTGAACAACATCTCGGCTATTGGGATCATGACATAATTAAGTTGGAGTTGTGTGATTCACAGATATGGAATTCGTAAGCGATAATTTCACCTCATGCTTTATTGACGGGTGTGTGAATAAATAAACCAGGCCTGGTATTCAATGATGGTATTCATTGATTAAGACATCGTGACATGTGCGAGACATCTTACGAACATATGTCTTTCTTATTCACAGTCATATAAAGGAGTTGAGGAAACAATGACTGGAATGGTAAAACGGTAATTTTCTATACCATTCTAGTCACTGATATTTACGAAGGATAATAGTGCATTTATTCTGTGGACCGTGTGATAAATTGTATTAACACCATCAGAAAAATAGCGCATATGAATCAAGAGATTAGTCGGCATCGAACCTTTAGTGGAGTCGTACGATGTCGGAATTAAATACGTCGATAACTTATCGGGATAAATTAGTCGAGTATTGTAATTCCATAGCTTTGTTCATATGGGTCCATTCGGTCTCAAAGCTAGCTCTAATAAGTGGGAAAATTGAAACTGATGTTTTGTTACATAATTGTGTTTAAATAAATTCATTATGTTATTTTTCATTTATTTGATAATTGAAAAATAAAAGGAATGAATTTGAATTTTGAAATTAATGGTGATTAATTTAAAATTCAAAATAGAATTTGAACATGATTTGATTTGGCAATAAAAGGGGAAGGAAAAATTCAGAAATCCCTAAGGCAAGAGGGAATTCGGATTTTGATTAAAAAGAGGAAGGAAAATTCGGAAATCCCATCTAGGGTTTGAGTTTTCAAATTTCCTCTTATAAAAAAGATATTATTGAAAACCCTAGTGGTGTTCAAGAAGAAGAAAAAAAATATCTCACTCTCATTCTCTTCCTAGGGTGGCCGGATTTTGTAACAAAATTAGAAAGAAAATTGTTTCCTTAGGTTTTTGAAAAAGAGCCCACTCTCTAATCCCAAAACACTTAGAGTCATAGTTTTGAATCAACGAGTGGTTTGTGGTGTGATTGTGTTCATAAATCAATGGTCTTGTTTCACGGCAATTCTCCATCTCGGAACGTGAGATAGTGAGACAAGATCCTTGCGGCCATATTTGATCCGATCGTCTTAAAGGTATGATTGTCATTTTATTCCTTTATCTATAAACATATATCATGCATGTATCTGTCGTTGTGATTTACGTTTAATTTGGAATTAAAAGAGATGTGAAAATTTTTGAAATTTCCGCCTACAAGTTTGTTGTTGTTTAAATGATTTTTCACTTAAAAATCACAACTTGATCCTACAACATGATCATACTATTTTCAATCTTCCACTTTCTAAAACCCGGATCTGTAGTCTCTGGCATAGCTGCTGCTCCCGTGAGATACTCATCCTTTCCCTTACCACAAATGAACAGCAAAACAGATTGTGACCACTGCAAATAATTATGGCCATTTAATTTGTGTCCAGTAATGAGAATAGGATGAGAATCACTGCCACCAAGGTTTGGAATTTCTGAATTTCCTCTTGCTTTTGGTGCCGTGATGCTGGATGTTTGTGATGAGGCCATTCCGTATTTTGTCATGCTCCAAATATTGCGAAGAAGAAGATGAGGAAGAAGAACGAATAAGGTTGCTGGAAATATAGAAGACGAAGGCCGGGAGAACAAGCCTGAGAACAGAGAAGGGATGGCCGGAAGGAATGATGGCCGGAGAGAGGCGGCCTGAAGGGATTGGATGGCCGGAAGGAGTTTTAACTTCCGAGACTCTAATTCCTCTTGTATACATCACATTAGGTTCTCCTTGTGACCTAAGATTGCCAAACTCTATCGCATGATCATCATTATAAAGCTTCTCAAAGTAACTCCTCCTCTTTATCTCTTGTCAGAACTTGATCCGTATCATCCTTAACACCTCACTTGATTTAGGTCCTGACACTTCCTTTCTCTTATCTTAGCTAATTTATATATATCCTTCTCTAGTCCCAAGTTTCCTATATACCTCATCTAAGTAAGTAGAACGAGCCTTACCAACTGCTCGCTTAGCTTTTTTCTTCGCTTCTTTGTACTTATTAAAAGTTCCAACATCCTTACGCTTTGGTAAATCTCTATATAAATTCCTCTTGGTCCTAATAGCCTTTTGAACTTCCTCACTCCACCACTAGGTTTCTTTCCTAGGGGGCTTTTACCTCTAGATTCCCCTAGTACCTCCTTTGCCACTTTTCTGATGCAAAGTGACAAAGGAGGTACTAGGGGAATCTAGAGAAGGAATATATGCAACTTGAATATATAAGATGGAATGCAACGTTTCAATAAAGACAGGGAAGGCTATTGTTATTATCCCTATATTATTATTGTGGAAGAAAATAATGCTGGTGAGTAAGGCGAACCTCTTTCTGTCGGCTTACGGCTAAGGATTCAAGCTCTTCAATGCGCATCCTTGCAGCCGTAAGCTCTTCATCCCTCTCTGATTTTATTTGCTGTGCCAAGCCTAATCCAATGCATTTAAAAGGGGAACCAGAACCCCTGGCCTTTGCGCCATACTTCTCTGCCTTCTTCGGTGAAGAACTCAGTGCATGAAGTAAATGGCCCTCGGGTCTTACATGCTCAGCCATTGCTTCCAGTGCCTTGAACTGTCCCCAGATTTCAAAGTTACCAAAATTTTAATGAGAGAGAGAGATAGAGAGAGAGAGTAAGCTTTTAAGAAGATATGCATGCAACGATGGTGTACCTTCTGCTTGTACTCAGTAGCCTGTGCTTCGGCATGCAAGTTCAGCTCAGAGATATGTGCTTTGAATTGGGCAATCTGTTGGGAAAAAAAATAATAATAAAAGGAATTTACAATCTCTATCACATAATAAAAGTATGACACTGTTGGGTTTCATAGCCATTTGAGATGATAAAGGAGTTCTCATAGCAAACTTGGAACAAATTTACAAAGAAATTTGAAACAAAGAGCTTCACCTCTGCGTCCTTCTCAGCTATATCGCTCTCGAGAACTTGTATTTTCTTGCGTGCTTCTTGAAGATTTTTCTCTTTCTCCTCCATGAATCTAAAGAGAATGGCGATATTTGGCAATTCAAGCCAAGTTTAGCCTCATGTACAGAACATTTAAAAAAAAAAAAAAAATCCTAAGGCATATCTTATAACATATTCCGTGCAACTCAATTTTAACTATTGGTTGATTGGAAAACATAATCTAAACTGAGAAATAATTTAAACCAAAATTGTTGAATCTTTTTAGCTAAAAGCTAACAACTGCTTTTCAATGATTAAAATTGCTTTTCTTTTCCGCCAGAAATTTGATTTATATCTCAATTTTTAGGATCTAATAAAGTTTTCATCTAAAAGAAATTGAAATTGAAGCAAAATTGGTGTGGGGAGGAAAGCTATAAACCTTCTCATGTCAGCATCAGCATTTTTGACATTCTGCATCTGCTGTTTCACTGCGAGAAGTTCCAATTCAAGTTCTTCTCTCTGCAGCCGTTGTCTTTCAGCTTCCTCCTTAACAATATCAACCTAAAAGCAGGATTTAACGTGGCAGAGGTGAACATCACTAAGAAATTTAAGTTTTGTGAGTGTTACTTGCTCTGAACGAAAAAAAAAAAAAAAAAAACCTTACCTTGTTTTCCAGTACATTTATAGTGCACTCTAGCTCCTCCACAGACCTCTCAAGTAGCTTCACCTCCGCCTCCTTTTCTTCAGCATAGAGGTTCCTTGATTCAGCCATCTGAAACACAAATAAAGAAATCCCAGAATCAGAAAATGGACAAAAAAATCAGATCATCTAGTCCTTTTAACTAAAATTTTTTTTTACCAGTTGGGCTTCCTTTGCAATTGCTTCACTTTCTTCAGCCCGTGCTTGTTCTGCTTCAAGCTTGTTCTTCAAACCAACCATCTCCAACTGGAGATGATCCCTCTCACTGGCGAGCTCATCCACATTGCTTGTCAATGAATCGATCGAATCGTTCAACCAATCAATAGCATTTCCCATCTCCAAGAGCTCCATTTCCAAGCTCTCATTCACCTTCTTTGTCTCTGTCAACTCCTCCTCCACAGAGCCTTTCGCAGCCAAGGCATCTTCAAGCTGAGCCTGCAGTTCCACGTTTTCGTGCCGGAGAAACTCTCGAGACTTGTGCTCTTCACAGATATCCAATTCGAGAGTGGAGATTATATCTGTTTTCTCCCCCAACTCAGCTTCAAGCATTTGCCTTGCAGCCATTGCTTCTTCAAGCTCACCTGACTTCGCTGAAAGCTCATCCTCCAAAACCTCAAGGGAAGCCATTATTTCCTCAATTTCATCCTTCTGATCCTTTGTATTGGATGCAGATTCCTGCAACAAGCTCAGATCAAATAGCAAGCCTTTAAGAACCTCGTCTTTCCTCAGTAGCTCTGTTTGAATAGACAAATTTTCAGATTCCATCTCTTTGACATGGCATTCCAAGCTATCAATCTGATCTACGAACTCTTGTGTCCTCTGCACAGTTTCACAGATTTCTTGAAGCATTTTATCCGTATTCACGAAGCCTTCTACACTCAGAAAACCAGCTAGTTTTTCATCCAACAAATCAACATATTTCTCCATGTTTGACCTGGACATTGTGAGAAGTTCATACTTGCTTTTCTTGAGAGAGTCGAGCTCTTCTCGCAAAAGAACATTCTCTTCCTTTAATGTATCAACTCTACTAGCATATGTTTGCAAGTCCTGGCTTTTGAGGCACAACTCTTCTGTAATGGCATATTGAGATTGTTGTAGTTCATGAAGTTCAGCACTAGCAGCCTGGAAATGTTTCTCCAAAGACGAAATTTCATCCCTCAACCTGTGATTTTCTTTTTCAAGGAGATTTACTTGGCTCAAAGAAGATTCAACATCAGAATTCTTCTCCTCCAGGTCATGGAGAACTAAGCTGTTCTCTGCCTTTAAATTCTTTATCTCAATTCTCAGGGACTCATTTTCCTTCTCCAAGCTGATCATTCTAGTTAGCTCTGTCTCCTTCCTTTGCAACTCGTCTTTCAGCGCACAAGAAAGATTTTGCAACTCCCGAGTTTGCTGACTCAGTGAGGAGAATTTACCAGAAACCTCAATTTCCTTGTCATTCAAGAACTGATCTTTTAGTTCTGCCTCTATCTGGAAAATAATTATTTCTTTCTTTAGATCTTCGAGAATTGCGCAGCAACTGATATACTCTCTTTCTGTATCCGCTTTATGGCAAGCCATCTCTTCTAATTCTGATGCCAAGATAAGTGACTCGAACTCTTTCAAGCACCAGTTTCTCATGAAGGACTTGGCTTGAGAATCGAATACTTCTTCTTTGTCCTTCAACAATTTCTCTTGATCCAAAAGGGGTGCAGCCAAAGTTTTGTTACTCGAATCTAACTCCTTCATTAACATAGAAAGCTGAGATCCCATGTGATTAGACCTCTGCAGCATCAACTCCTCCTGAAGTTGTAAGTCTAATATCTTTTTGTCGAAAGTGGTTAGCTTGACACTGAGTTCTTGGTTTTCCTCTTCTTTCTTGGAAATGCGGTCAAAGCTATTCTTAATGTCAGCCAATAATTTCCCCTTAATAACCCTGCACATCTCGAGCTCTTTTATTGACTTGTTATTGTGCTCTCTCAGATCAGCTATAACAGCATTTGATTCACACATGCCATGTTGAAGCAGCCCATTCTCCGCATTCAATCCAGTAACTGTTTCCAACAGAATTCCCATATGGCAGAGGTGTAGAACTGACACAGCGGAATCCTTCACAATTATTTCAGACCAAATGTCCTCAAGACATGTCCTGACCAGCTTTGAAGAGTCAAAAAGTAGACCCTTTATGGTGTGGAAATCAGAGGCTAGAAGCATGGAGTTCTCCTTGAAAGCAGTCTGGACCTCTGAAATAATGTCTTCAAGTTCTACAACCAGAGCCTTTGTTTCCTCTAGATCAGAAACAAGTTGTTCACATTGCTGATTTTTCAGATTTTTGACAGACTGCAGGCTTTGAACTTCGTTAGCTAATGTATCCTTATCATTTATCAAAACGCTGTTCATTTTCTTCAATTTTTCCACCTCGAGCTTCATTTTCTCTTTTGCTATCATCAATCCATTGATCATAATATCTGCTTCTTTCATGGTGTCTTGTGCTTCTTCAAATTTAGAAAGAACGCAAGCAACTTCTGCTGCTTTCTCGGCAGCAACCAACTTTGCATCATCAACTTCTAGCTCGAGCAACTGTCAGACAAGAAAACACGCACGCATGCATTAGACAAAATTTCCTCTCTTATAGAATAATAAGAAAAGGCTAAATGAAAAGCTCATAAATATCATGATTTGGTAGAAATAAAGACTTGTTAAACGTTTTCAAGGGCCTTTTTTTAATTACAAGTTTAGTAGGAAAAAAATCATGATTGTGAAGGGATGCGTGAAAGAGTAGTATTTACATGAAGAATCATGCGAGTTTCTTAAAATTTTCAGAAATGTGAAAGATTACCTCTTTGGTTCCATACCAGTGAGAGCTGCCTTCTAGCACAATCTGTTCAAATGCCTCTAGCCTTTGGTTCAAAGCTCCCATCTTGTGTTCGGATTGACTTTCAAAGTTATCCATAGTTGTTTGCAGGTTAAGTATCTGAGCCACCAAAGATTTCATGCTTTCCCTAGTTTTTTGCTCAGACTTCGACATCTCTTTATTTTCTTCATGAAGTTTCTCCATCTCACTTTGGACCTCTTTCAGGCTCTGAAGGGCAGATTCTATTTCCCTTCTTAGTAGAACTATAGTATCTCTATCCTTGCAAGGTCTTGTTGTCTTCAAAGTTTCCTGATCAGATGCGCTCTTCCCTACATCAAGGGAAAATTTAGACATGTTCCTTCTTGAGTCTTCGACATCATCGGCATATGTTTCAGGAGCTATCTGCAAGAATTTCCAGGTTCAGCAACTAGTAAATCAGACACCCATCAAAGACCTCACTCAGTAAACACGTTAACTTACCCGGCCTTCATATTCTCCATCAAAAAATGTACGATCTTCTTGTGAACTATCCCTTTCAGGACTTCCATAATGCTCCACATGTATGGCCATGCATGATTTGAGTGAGGAGACACCGGTTTTTAGCTCTTCTAGTTTTTCCTTTGCCTCTGAAATGTTCTTCTCTTCAACATTTTTAAGCTTTTCTTCAATGGCGGAAGCGTGTTTCCGCTCTTCTGAAATCTGCCCTCTTAAATCAGCAGAAATTCCTTCCATCTCTACTAGCTCTGCCCTCATAATTTGGATTTGTTTCTCTGCTTCTTGAACTATAGAAGCCTGCTCACGGAGAAGGGCATCCTTATGCTGAAGCGCATCAAAGTTACTATGATTTACTTCTGTTAATCTATTCACAATGACAAAGGCAACTGTTGCACAAACTGATGCTTTTCCAATCTCATGTTCCAATAGTTTCACTCTGTTTTCTAGCTTCTCTCTGCTAGATGTCTTTCTGTTCAACTGTGATTTCAAGAGCAGAATATCCTTCTTCTTTTCACTGCACTCCCTTTGGTGAGCTTCAGTGATGGCCAGTGCTGCTCCTCTCAATGACTTCAGCATACACTCAACATCGCTTCTTTTGTTGTTTGCATCCTCTAAACATCTTCTCAGCTCTTCAATCAACAATTCCTTTTCAGATATGGTTCTTACGATCTTACCCACATGGTCAGATATCCAAATCCTTTTTTGCGGAAAGGAACTAGATATAACTTCAAGCTGATCAGAGGCGTCAATAAGCAATTCGCACCCGTCTGCAAGAACTTCTTCGATCTCGCTAGTCAACAATGACCATTCTTCAGTCAAAGTTCGTAGTTCTCTATCTTTTTCCTGAAGCTTTCCGCTCAAACTTGCATTATCTTCGGTCAGAACGTGCACTTTTTCATGAACATCCTTCAGTTCAATTTCTAAAAGCACTAAGTTCTTTTTCACCTCCACATCCTTCAAATGATTAGCTTGGACTTCTTGCTGGAGTATGGCCAACTCTTCCTGTAAACAGACAATCACCTCAGCAGTTTCAGCTTCAACCTGCTTTCGGACCTCGTCAATTTCTTCATCATTGGAGACCTGAAATTCGTGATCTTTTTGGTACCGCATGTTTAGTCTCTTTGCCTTGTCAAGGGAACATTGCATCCTCTTCACCTTTTCGTGCAACAGAGAGGAATCATTCTCTGAAGAGTTTGAAGGTGTTACATCTTTTAGCTCCTTTAAAGCAAGCTTCTCTTTCAGGAACATGATTTCAACTTCCTGTTTACTCAAAAGCTGCATATGATGATTGTTACTGTTTCTCAGGTCTTCCATCTCATTGATTGATAGAATCTGCTGAGACTCAAGAGCCTCGATGACCGACTTTGCCTCCTCCAATTCTGTCTTTGCATCGTCATAATGTTTGCTTATTGAGAAGAGCTCTTCTTTCGCCAGCTCAAGCTCACTGTTTAAGCATGTTACCCTTTCCTCCACCTTGCCACTAGAAGATCTCTCTTCTTTGAGAATAATCTTTAAAATGTCCAATTCCAATTGCAAGTTCACAATTTCTTCTGCATTCTTAGTCATCATAGACTCATGTTTTGACTCTATCTCTTCAATTTGAGCTGCGTTTAGAAACTTAACTCCCAAAGGTGGACCCCTCACCAAATCCTGAAAATAATATCATTAGTACACTTAGATGAGTTTCCATTGCTTTCTCTGTTTCATATATGATATCTCGTTGTTTTTTCTTCATTTTCAATAGTTAGAAACTGAATCAGACGAAGATAATATAGAAATATAAGTACCTCTGTAGTCTTAACGCTATCTTCTTGACCAAGGGGTGAAGATTGAAGATTAATTAACATTGAACGGACATCTTCTAGCTCCCTACAAAATTACAAGGGAAAAAAACTACATAAGAGCTAAGATAAACCGGCCTGAGAATCAAGTATTTAGATATGTAAATAAACAAAAATAGATGAAGATCGAAGCTAGTAAAGTATTTAGCAAGAGATTGTAATGATCCTACCTACTGAGTTTTGCATTTTCATCCAAACAAGAAGTCAAATTGCGCCGACATTCCTCTAACTCAATGAAAGTGTTTCCCAACTGCAACAAGTGAAAAAATAGGATCAGTAAATGTGAAAAAAATACAAATGAACTTCTTTGGAAGACATGATTAATTGCAACCTCCAGATTAAGGAATTCATTTTTCTTGCTGATGCACATGGATTCCTGCGTCAATAAGAAGAGAGAGGGCATTTTTAGGAGTATGATATAAAGAAATCATAAACGGAAAGTCCAAGATAAGTTTAGAATACTTGAGTCTCTATGGGGTTTCAGAAGCTTGAGATACAAAAATATTAATAGAAACGGAATTTCACAGCATTATTCATATAGGTCTATAGAAATCACAAGGAGGACTGGAAAGCTTAACAACTAACTAAAGAGGGTTGAAAGAAACCAACCTCAGGAACAATTGTTAAATTTGGATTGTTTTGCTGTATCGAGTTTCCATCAAGAAATTGTAGCAACTGCAAACAAAGGCTACGTTTTTAGTTTCAAAAGACCCAAGAAACAACTCAATTTGCATTAAAACAAAAAAAAAAAGAAAAAAAAAGTTTGGATTTAATGAACACCTGATCCCGCAATTCAGATACTTCAGACAAGAGTTTCTCTCTCTCGCCTTCTTCATAGAATTCTTGAAATCTACAAGTGCCAAGCTGAAGATCAGTTAAATCTGAATAAACTGTGTAAGTAAATTTTTATGCTTACAAAAACTACCTTCCGAGCTGGTCCAAAAGCCGTATATTCTCCGATGCAAAGCGAGTTACTTCTGGATTCTTTTCTAGTTTAGCTTGAAGTAGTTGAATCTCTTCAGATAGAGCTATGTTCTCTTCTAGTAAATAACTGTCCACGGGAATTGAGCCATTAACAAGTGACTCCATCCTTCGAATTTTGTCCTCCCGAAACCTAAGCATCATTTTAGTGCTCCTAGTGTCTTCCTCTCTTTGGCATACCTGACAAGTAATGAGAAAAGACGCATGATTTAAGCCACAAATCATAGGACAATTTCTGAAAAGAAACGAAAAGCCAAAAGAGAAATAGTGAAATACCAATCGGTTTAATTGCTCTATTTCAGCTTCAAGTTGCTTTACAAAAGTTTCTGCCATTTGCTCCCTCCTCAAGGCACCGGCAAGTGTTGTCTCCAAGCCTTTCAGCTGAATTTCACCATTGATATACCAACATGTGATAACTTGTAATGCAAGAAATCTACTGGTACATGTTATAGATATGACACCTTTTCTATAGAATACGCAAAGGACTAGCTACGTACGAAGCAATGGATTTTTTATTCTATACAGGATCTATAGCATCTTGAAGGAGCAGTACAAAAGCATCTTATCACTCTAGTCCGTCCATATAATGAATTAGCATAGCAATATACCTGCTTATTAGACATTCTCACAGTGCCTTTAGAGTCGTTTTCAAGCAAATCATCAGAATCTTCTGTATCCATGTCACACACATGTCCTTGAAAACTATATTCCGATACTTGACTCGTATATTCATAAGTAGGCAACCCAAATGATAAAGACCGAGAGACATTCTGACGTTTCAGAATAGAAAGTTCCTCCTGTTCCAATCACCCGATTATGTTAAATGCAAATAATTTCAGACATAATGTGAACAGTGACTGGAATATAAGATTCAAGTACCACCAGAATCCTGTTCTACAAAAAAAAAAAAGAAAAAAAAAAAAAGAAGGATTCAAGTGCCACCGTTAGAAGCCGTATTTGGTGTTGCAAGGCAGTGACATCCCCTGTAGAATCTTCATTCACCACAGCCTATGCAGTGAAAAAAAAACATGTAAGAGAACGTCAAAAAATTTTATTGAAGCCTTCAAGAAATTTCGAAGGAAGAAGCTTACGTTATTCTGGATCATTTTCGCTCGCTGAGCAAACTTAAGAGTGTTCAGTGTTTCAGCCGCAGAGCTGAAAAATAATAAGGTACGGCAGAAGATGTTAATATCTCTGTTATGACCGAGTCTTTAGGTTGAGATGGAAATTAAGCATCTTATGGACGTTGAACTAACCAGATAGAAGGGCTAACATTTGCTATAATCATTGTTTTTGAGTTCCCACCAAGTGAGTCCTGCATTTTATTGGTTAAAAGAGCTATGTCATGACTCAGAAATGTGAGAAAACGAAGGCTAATAGGAAAAATTTATATTAACCTGTAGAAGAAAGGTAAGTCTTGAGTCTCTATAAGGAATATGCCTTTGCTTCCCTTGTGCAACATCCACTAGAACCATTATAACATGACTGCAAATGCGTAAATCCATGTTTAGTACAACTCAAATCACATAATATGTTCAAGAATATCAAGGTAACAGTAAGAATTAGCACCCCAATGTAGACAGAGATTTGTTAATGTTAGCAGCTTCCTTTAAACGCTCACCCTCAGCACCAGAGCTTTTCTGCCTATTGTAGACAATAACTTGGTTAAGGCTAATATTAAGCAAATTTATCAGAAAGTATATACTGGAGAGCAAGCTTGAGGATGATGCCATTTGCCTCACCTTTCAGAACCAGCCAAGTCAACCAAGTTTAGTCTAGCAAACCGTAAGTTAGTAGTTGAATCCTTTTCCCATCTGCTTTCAATTACACATGTAAAGACACTATGTGAACGGCTGCTCTCTCTATTCATGTTTGTGGCCGCAACTCTCCTATTTGAAGAACCCTATATGAAGAAATAAAAAATGTTAGTGCTAGATTATGCACACAATATAGTGAAAACGTGCATGGAGAGAGGTCATGCTTCACCAGAATTGAGAGAAAAAAATAAAATAAAATAACATAAAAGGGATCATGGTTAGTAAATTTTGACCTGAATTAGAAGGTTTAGGATGTCACCGATGGTACAAACTTCAAACTCTGATAAGTTTTCTACGTAAACACCCTTCTTAACATCCTCTCTCAGCTGGAAAGAGAATAAATAAAAAATAAATAAAATACAGAAAAATATAGCATAGTGAAGGTACTTCAATTTGTGATCCCATAAGACTGCAAAGTTTATGTACTACTTACAAGCAAATTGGTGGATGAGGGATCAAGAAGATCTGTAATCTGTTCATTGTAGATCTCTAAGAAAGAGCACTTGCAATTGTATTTTAACTTCTCATCTCTCCTGCTTTCCTCTTCCTAAAAAAGGAAAGATAAATCAGAAACAACCCTATAGACTTGCTGATGGATATACATAAAGGAAAACAAGCCAAGGTTGCGAAAATTACAGCTTGGATCCTTGCAAACAAGAATTCAAATATGCATGGCGTCATTCCACGATGTGGACTAGGCTTGACTTCTAGGTTGTCAATCTCCCCAAGCATTGTATATGTCTTTCCACTTCCCGTCTGCAACATACAAACCCTCTCGATGATCAATAGTTCGAGAAAAAAGAGGAGGGAAAGGAAAAGAAGGAAAAAAAAAAAGAGAGAAAACTATAGTATATATCATTAACATAACTTGTTAGTAGAGAATAGAAATAATAATCGAGTCATAAAAATTGTAGACAATTCTGGAAAAACACAAATTCATCATGCCTAATTCACAATTCCACATGTTTAGTTATAAGGAAGTACTATAATGTTTGCATGCTTGTGCTAGGTAGTAGAGTTTAGAGACATTGATATTGCCACAGCGTTTGTAGATAACATAAAGAAAAGTGCGCTTCTGTAAACAAAAATTGAAGCTGTAAAATAAACTACCATTTGCTTAACACTCCAAAACCATAACGACTTCAGTATATTTTACTCAAACTTCACTTGTAAAGGAAGCAATGAGAAATTTGGACAAATATCTATCAACTAAATAGTGTAATAAAGCAACTATTTCATGGAAATACATACCTGACCGTAGGCAAACATACAGCTATTATACCCTGAGAGGCAATTCTCCACCATAGGTAACCCGGCCATCCTGAAAAGCATTTCCTGCAAAACCCCACCAAAGATAAAGCAAGTTAACTCACTAAATCCGGATCAAAAAAATTAGGAGATGAAATTACTCATCTGTCATTTCTAAACCAGACCTGATCTACTGTTTCACAGGCTACATGATCAAATGTGAACCGAGTTTCTGGGTGGCCAACCCAAGTAATGGTCTGAGAGCTCTCTTGCTTCAAGCATCTGTTGTAACCATTTGTGCTTCTCTCCATGCTATTAAGAGGACGAATACGTATAAGGACCTGCACAAAGTTTTCAATCCAGTCACCATAATTAGCAATGTAAGACTATAAGAGTTCTATTTATCCCGATTAGGAGAAAATCACAACTCCGAAAGGGAAAAAAATGATAGTTAGCAGCATTCTTAACACTATACTAATCAAAATTCCATTTCAAGTGTCAGCAATGTTGAATTACTAGAGTATACTTTGCTAACTTTCTATATTTGTGTCGGGAATACTTTCTCCTTTCTCACTTAAAACTAGCAAATTTTGAAGACCCAGTTGGGGATTTCCCTCAATAATCTCAGAATTAATAAATATCATGCTCAAAATGCACTGAATGGAAATCAATGACAGGCCAAAAGAAGCTTTACCTGTACATTGTGCTCCATCCAAAAGGACGGATCTTCCTTGAGATCGAAGTGAGGAACTTCGACCGTATTAACCACCGTTGACGACGATCCTTTGTACAATGCAGCGAAATTCCCCATCCGAGCACCGACGACACCGTCCACCTTGCTCCGGAGAGTGGAACTCGGAGGCTTGGAGACGCTCTTTGTTGGTGTGCTCTGCGTCGAATTGCTCTCCGAAAAGCTCGGCGCAGCTCTCCCGACAGTAGTCCTCGTCGGCCTCGGCGTCATACTTGCGAAACCCCCATTCCCAATCCCAGCTCTTCGGCTCACGGAACAACTTCCGAAATCGTCGCCGCCTCCGGCTTCGTTCCTCTGCGCCCAACCAAACCGGTTCTTCGCTGACATCGCGGCTCCGAGCTTGTCCGGCGTCCGAAGTGGCAATGCCGGATGATCCGAAGCTTTAGCCTTTGACTTTACCGGGGTTTTATCAACCTTGCTCTTAGAAACGTCTTGTTCCGGCTTCGGATTAGGAGCCGGATCTTGAATGGCGTTGAACGGAGCTCTCGGCGAGTCCGACGAGATCCGAACAGCCGAAAAATCCTTTCGACTCACCGGAATATTCTCCGCTTCGTCATTCTTCGAAGAATTCCGGCGCAAGAATTTGAAATCCCTCAACATCCTAAATTGATCACCCCAACAACAAAAAAACAAAAATCAGCAAATGGGTTTTGTAAAAGAGGAAATTTTATACAGATTTTGAACTCTTGTATCATAAATTTGTATTACATTACCTAAAAGAGGAATTGAAAAGCAAATTTCGCAGCTGAGGGATTCCTGAAATCTTTCACACACAAAAAATCTTGGGATAAAGAAAAACCGAAAATGAAAATAATAATGTAGTTGGTTTTGATTCGAAAGCTCATTTCTTGAGTTTGGGCATTGACATTGCTCTTTTTTACTCAGTACTACTACAGTTTCGAAGTAGAAGAACAAGAAGAAGAATACTTTGGACGTTTATTGAATCTGAGCTTCGAAGTTCGAAAGCTGGGATGAGTGAATGGACGGTGGAGATGCGATCTGGATTTGAAATTTGCGGATGGAACCGCGGTTTTGGGATTTGAATTGGTAGGGGCTTTTCGGTCAAAAAGGAAAGTTTTTGGATTCGAATATGGGATAAATAATCAATCATGGCTATTTCAAATTTCAACGGCTACATTGCCAACAAAACCACGAGGTGCAAAGAGAATAAGGTTGGAAAAAGTAATTTGTATTAAAATTGATTAAAAACACCGTTTTTTTTTTTTTTTAAATGAACAATAGAGAAATTCTCTTGAAAAGAAGAAAAATAAGACAAATATCATTTTAAGTGCATGAGTCTTGAATTTTCATCCATTATTCTTAATTAATACATTTAGTCAAAGAATTGCATTAATCAAAGGATATTAATAAGTAAAAAATAAAAATTTAAAGTTATACACTCTTAACAGGAAATTCAGTAATTTTCTAAAAAAAAGTGGTAATAGTTACCCATTTTGTAATTATTACAAGCTAAAGAATTCTTATTTAAGATCACCATAGATGTTTTTTTGTTGTTGTGGCACATAATGATTTTTATTATATATTTATGCTATTTAATATTATGCATTATTCATTTCACTGATTCGAGTTTTCAGTTTTAAGTTTCTATAGTAAAAAGCTCTCATAAAATGTCACATCTAACTTTTTCTGTTACAATGAAAAGCTCTCAGAAAATGTCACATCTCAATTCAAATTAAAAACTCGAATCTACGAAGTGAACGAGACTATAATTTAAAATAATATTACTTATTTTTGTATTTTGGCACGCTTAAAATGTGGAACGTACGATATGTTACATGTCATTTAATAGCATGATGACTTACTTAATTTTTCATTTTAGAACGCTAAAATATATTTGTATATGTTATAAAATTTAACATATGTGATTGTAGCAATTGTATTTTTGACACAAAAGGTAGGCTCGTAGGGGTTCGAGTCTTGTTGATGGTTTAGTTGACTTTAAGGTATCGATGAGCTTCATAAAAGTAACCCAAAGATGTTCAAGTATTTTACTCCAGTCATCTTGGTTTTTGTTTTAGAATAATGTCGGAGATCCTAATTACGTTTTAAATATCAATAGTAAGTTGTCATCTTTTTAATTAATAGGCGCAACTTTTTAATATTAATTGACTTGTTAATTTTTAAATTTTTATCAATAAAAAATGACAAGCTCTAATGCTATAATTAAACCCCTTTCGAATTATGTTTAAAGAGAATTTTGATTAAGTTTTACATAAAAAGAGATTGGAAGGAGTTGGGATATTTGAGAAACTGTTCTTGAAGAGTTCAAATTCCAATAAATTCAAAGGTAGCCAACCGTGTAATTTAAGGAGAAATAATAACGACCAAGATTGAAAGTTTCAGTAATATTTAAGGATCCAGGATTTTTATTTGCCAAATAGGTAAACTAATTATGTTAAACTAGTTTATACAGCAGCATCATGTACACAATCAAACTTAAAATATATATTTACTGAAAAAAAACTTAATATATATATATATATATAAATCATTTTGCTACGTTTGACATCCAACATCAAATTGCCATATGCCGCCTTATTGGCAGTGATAAAAATATATCTAAACAAATGTATGGGAAAAAAAAAGAAGATGATATATTACAAATATCAGACACAAGAGCTCCAAATTTAGAGAGAGAGGAAATATTTGAAAGCATTTCTTGAATGACCTCAAATGGAATCAGATTTTATAAGTTAGAGAGGAAGACCAACCAAATTAGCCCATTGGAAACTGTAATAGATAGCGACAGCTTCAGCTTTCTTTGAAGAGAATTTGCCAACAGGTTTTGCAAATAATGCCAGCTATGAGACACTTGAAATATAAGTCTCTAATATTGTATGTACGAGAGTACCGTATTATATAATAATATAATAATATAATTTTTAATATTATTATCGTATTGTATAAATTAATACAGATAGTAAATTAATACTGTCTATTTTGTATTATTGAATATGGTTCATTTTTTGTGTATTGCATTGTATTGTTTATAGTGGATCAATAATTTATATTAGGGTTGGGCAACACTAGATGTCGGGGTCGGGTTAACATAGGGTCACGGTGGAGTCTATAATTGTTGAAAAATTTAAGGGCACAATGCAAATTTTTTATTTTTTAATAATTACATTTTGACCCCAAAAATTTGTAAAATTACACTTTGACCCTAAAAGTTTTAGAAAATTTCATTTTGACCTCAAATTTTTGAAAAATTATATGTTGACCCCAAATTTTTTTTCAAAATTTACATTTTGACCCCAAAATTATTAAAATTTTACATTTTGACCTTTTATATAATACGTCATGACACCAAACACCGTATTATATTATGATAATACAACACAATATAATACACCTTATACAATACAAGCTACCAAATATGGTCATAATGTTAATTACTTCATAGTTTTAACTTTTAAGTTGTAACATAAAATCTCGAAACTGTAATTTGAGAGTAACTCTATAAAATGATCTGGACCACTTGAATTTAGGGGGATAAGTTTTAATTAATTTGATTTCGCTGGCCTAAAACATCACACTAAAGTTGAAACTCTATCTCCAATTACAAATTCAAACACCATTTTGAACTTGACTTATGGGTTCAAACCACATCAATCAGCCGACACCATCTATATTGTTCACTATTCTTGCATTGTTGAGATGGAGATAAACGAACAGCAGGACCATCAGAGCCCAAAACAGGCCCATATATTTTTATTGCGGGGCCCATGTTTTCTTTTGGGTACAAGAATGAAAGCCCAAGAAGTAGGAGGTACTGGATACTTGGATCAAAGTTGGTTAATCCAATTGAAATAGTCACTTTACTTTTACTTTTCAGGTATTACTCTTAAAAATGCATGGATACTTGGATCAAAGTTGGTTAATCCAATTGAAATAGTCACTTTACTTTTACTTTTCCGGTATTACTCTTAAAAATGCATGGATCAGAATTTTTATTCTTTATTTTTAATTTATAATCTTTTTAATTAAATAATTACACTAATAAAAAGATATTTATCAAGAATAACGAATAAATGTCCAGACTCATGTATCTTTAAGAATAAATTTTTCATTTTTTTTTACTTTTTTTTACTACAATATTTTCTTCTAAAAGTCATTTTACAATTCATATTCTCAACTCAAGAGATACCTTTAGGCCTAGCCGATTAAATAAAAAAAACAAACACAAAAAAAGGGAAATAAGGTACGTGTTTAGAAACGTTTTTAAAAATGGTTTTCACGTATTTTGAGAAATAAAAAATGAAAATAAAAATGAAACGACGGGTGCGTTTGGAACTCGTTCCAAAATGATTTTATTTTTTGTATGAAAATGGAAATGAAAACGTTTTTAATCTTAGACAGAAATCATTTTGAAAATGTATTTGGTAGTTTTATCAATAGATTGTTTTTAGTATAAGAAAACCCATTAATGTCTCTCTCTGCTCAAGAGAGGAGAAAACAAAAACATAAAATGAAAAACGGCGCCGTGTTTGAAATTGTTCTTGTTTTTGTTTTTCACGTTTTTTGAGAAAAAAAAAGAAAATAATTCTAAAATGGCGTTTGGCAGAATTAAAGACAAAAAAAGGAAATGAAAACGATATTTTGGTTTAGTATAAAACATGAGAGAAATGAAAAATGATTTTTAGTCCTTTTTCATTTTTTGTTTTTGTTTTCTCCTCTCTCAAGCAGAGAGAGAGATATTAATGGATTTTTTTATTTGAAAATAATCTCTTGACAAAATTACCAAACCCATTTTTAAAAGTGATTTCTGTCTGAGATTGAAAACGTTTTCATTTCCATTTTCATATAAAAAATAAAATCATTTTGGAATGAGCTCCAAACACACCCTAAAAGTCATTTTTCATTTGTCTCCCATTTTACACTAAACTAAAAAAATCGTTTTCATTTTCGTTTTTTATCTTTAATCGTGTCAAACGCCATTTTAGAATCGTTTTCATTTTTTCTTTCTCGAAAAATGTGAAAAATAAAAACAAGAACAATTCCAAACACGGTAGACGTTTGTTTAGTAAATGTTTTGAAAACAAAAATGAAAACGAAAACAGTAATGATGGTTTTTGTGAGAGAATTAGAAAACAGTTGAAAGTTGTTTTCACATTTCTATTTTTATTTTTTAGTACTTATCGACAATATTACAATATATTAATTAATAAATACGATTTCACTTTTTTATTATACTCAAAATAATCTTTTAAAAAATTAACTAAATTTAATTTTAGAATCAATCCCAATATGATTCTCAAAACAATCTCATTTTTACTTTTTATTAAAAATAAAATTATTTTAAAACTAATTATAAACGAACTCGTTAAAGCTTCGCTTAAAAGTACCTTTTTTTTCCTATATAAAGTTTGCTTAAAGTAAATAGTTGGCCATTGTCACTCAATATAAAATGGACGGTTCAATTTGGATTTGGAATAACTGGAACATGAGCATGACGAAAACAAGTACACAATACGTAGGTGAAAAATGATCGTGGACAGTGCTGGAACTTTGGGCCGGCGGGCCGCCCGAAGCTCGAATTTTTTCAGGCTCGGGCGGGCAGGCCCATATGCCGGCCCGTT